CATAGTAGGGTAAAGCCTGTCCTCCTGTTTCTCTACCTGTTATAATTCATATTTGGTGAAGGAATTCCATTTTGGATATGCCGCTGGAATTCAATGGGTTAAGACTAAATTCTTTTTGGGGAGTCCTGCTTTATTTGTTTGGAGGGGGGTGCCAAGTTGTGTGCTCTTTGAGCACTCACCTGTGAATTAACTCTATCATGAATTTGCTGTGTGACCTTGGACTAGTCTCCCCACTTCTCTGGGCCCCATTTCCCCCCATCTTTAAATTAGAGGGTAGTTGAGCTTGATGATCTCCAAGGACCTCCCCACTCTAAAAAGCTGTGACTCACTCCTCAGTCCCCTAATGCACTATTTATGTTCCAGGATTCTTGCCCCAGGGGACTGCCAGTTTAGTTGAGGGAACAAGAGATTGGGGCCACCAGCGCTTGTGTGATTCTAGGGATGGACGTGCTGTCCCCAGAGCCCCCTTTCCAATTATCCTGCTGAGCAAGCACCTGCCTTCTTCCGAGACTCCCATTTCCCAGAGACACGACTCAGTGCTTCCAACCGCCTGGCCTGGTGGCCATCTTCAGAGGCCAGCCTGCTCCTGGCCTTGCAGATGAGTCATTATTCGCAGCCATTCCTCTCTCATATTGCTTCCCTGACTCGGGGTGGGGGGTTCAGCCTGATGTCTAGATGAAAGAGAGATGTGACCTTCCTCTGGGGCCCAGTGAAAATCCCTGGATGAGGTACAAGATAGGTCCACTTCATTTATAAGTCGCAGTGTTTATTTGGCCATTTTTTCATTTGTCTGTTTGCTTGTGTTTACATGCATTAGATTATTTATGCGTTTGCATTTGTTTCTGACTGCCCGAAGTCGGGTGGAAGGGAGTCTTGTATAGTGCCAGCCTGGTGAATGAATGAATCAAGGAATGAATGAATGAGTGAGTAAGTGGATGTCTAGGGTTCATCCTCCCCGTGCCACCTGTGTACTTGCTGAATTTTTCTTTGGTTGCACCTGTCACCTTGAACCCGAATTACCCAGGTGCATGTCTTGCTCTCCCTAGGCTGCTCATTCTTGGAGAACAGCTTTGAGCTACGTTCACTTTTGCCCTCTCATCTTCAAGCACAGGCCAAGACAAGACTAGGTGCTCCGGAAACATGTGTTTAATTGACTGTAGATACTTCACGTGCACACACGCACACTGCTGCATGCAGATGAGCACTGCCAAGAGAAGATACTGGGGCATTACCTCTCTGTGGCGTAGAAGGTCCTGCTCGGGAACAGCAGGGCTGGCCGGCAATAGAGCCAGGAATTCCCAACTCAACACTGGCAACGGGTTCTAGAAATGTTTAAAAAACATCATTCAAACAAGGGAATTAACACACTCAGAATCTCATATGAGCAAGAGCTGAGGCAGCAGCTTGTTTCAAAACCACCCAAAGTGTTATGGCTGCTAAAGTAAGAAAAAAGAGAGAAGGAATTGTCCAGCCTTAGCACTTGAAAGGAGAATTCACGGGGCAATTATCCCAGCCTTTTAAGGAGGGGCTGTCAGGAATTATGGGTGATGATCTCTTCCTAAACAAAAATCCAATTTCAAAAAATCATTATAAATACTAGCTCTTCGATCTACAAAGAGGAGATGAGGAAACAAAATCATCCTGTTGAATTATTCATTGTAACCAATTTTATTTTAATGAAATCGACTAGGTTCCATTACTCTGGGCTTGGACATAATCTTTGTTACAAGGAGACTTCAGCTGTAACTAAATTTGCCGTAATGAGATCAGCTCACTGGAGAATACAGGGTCAGGGGAGGGGATGCGTTGCTGGCTGGGTGCAGGGCCAGGCAGGCAGCCTGGAGGGCGGCAGAACAAAAGTCTCCTGAATTCCCCCACTGAAAGCAAATGCCTAGAAGTCACTCACGCACTGCCCCCACCATGCACACGCACGCCTGTCCACGCGCACACAGACACGGAGCCTGCGTGATTCTAGGCAAGGTGTTCCCTGGAGGGTAAGGGTGGCTCCCTTCTGACAACAGAGAAGAGGAGGGGGACTATAACCATGGCCTTCATTGTTACCGTGTGTGCTGATCAGAGGAGGCTGCTGGTTAATTTTCACCCAGTCAGGGCTTCCAGTGAAGAGGTTGATGGCTTGAGAGAAGGAGCTGGGAGGTTCTTAGATGCACCACATGCCCCTCGCCTTCCCCCAATGCAATTAAGTTTTTCCTTTTTCTTCTTCCTCTCTTTCTTTTTCTGTCTCTCTTCCACACATGCATGCACGTGCATGCACACACACGAAATTCCCATGCAGGAGCCTGGGTCCCGGGGAGAGTGGGGTGGGGAGGGTCATGGAGGTGCACCAGCCACTGCATTGGACCCTCCCGCACTCTGCAGCCCATCCCGCTGAGTGGCTTCCCCAGAGCCACACAGCCCAGAAGTGAAGAATCTAAGATTAGGATCTTGCAGAAGCTGCCAGTGAGATTGGGAATATGCGGCCACCTCCAAAAGTCAGAAGTCAGTGGACACCTGGAAAACCACACTGGGAAATAGGAAGAAACGTGGCTGGGCAGATCCTATCTTTGGTGTCACTGTGCAAAATGCCCTGAGGCACTTGGATTCTCCTCTAGCAGACTCCCGGGTGCTGCCTACACCTCTGAGTTCAGGCTGTTCTCAATCCCTTCGAGGTGGGCTGTTGTGAAGTCCCCCGGTGGTCGTTCACTGGGACACTCCATTAACTTGGGGGAGGGATGAAGTGACCACGGTTGTTCTTCGTTCCTCTTTACAAGGCAGCTTTGGCCACGCTCTGTCTCCCCCCCTATACTATAAACATGGTAAAGGCAGGTGTTTGAAGGATAGGTGCCTACCTCTGCACTGGAGCCTTTGGGAGAAACCAGGGAGAGGAAGAACCAACCCCTGGGCTTGTGAGGTGTGAGGATTCTATCAAGAGGAGCAGCCCCGTCAGAAGAAGTTGGCACATTCTCACTGGGATGGCCACCGAGCTGCACTCATCATGCTTCATGAGTCTAGAGAATTTCTGAAAGCTTGAGTTTCAATTTTGTGAAAGCCCTTTGTTCTAATAATTTCCAGTCTTTCACATGTCCATTCTCCTCCAACAAGGTCCCCAAATTTGGTTAGGGCTACACCATTCCACCCCAAGCCTTGAGTCTCCTATCCAGACGTTATCGGAGCCATCAGAACCTCCGGGTGTGCAAATTGGGCTGACCACCCTCTCATAAAAGACATTCTTTGGACATTTTGGCCATGCACCTTCCCAGCCCGGCTGGAATTCAAGAAGTCCCTGAGACAGAACAAAAATGGAAATGAACCAAAGGAATGAAGTTATCTCTCTTCAGGGAACCTCAGAAATGGTTTGGGTTAAGTGCTTGCAAAAATTTCATCTTGTCCTCATTTTGTCTCCATGTTTTGCATTTCTCTAGTGCTTTACACCATAGGCTGCCAAAATGAGATGCAGATATTCCTTCATCCTGCCCCCACCCCCAGTGTTTCTACCACAGTCCATTTCCTCCTATCTAGACAGGCACCTCCCTCCTGCAGTGGCCTAAGAAGGAAATGGAAATACTGACGACCTGGAATGCGCAGGGCTCTCCAGGGATTACAGACCTTCAGTCAACCAACCAATTTATTTGGTTAATCCTTTGAGGGTAAAGCCTAGACTAAGCATTTCCAGGGCAGTGGTTTCAGGGCCAAAATAAAACCTTTCTAAGAACGAGAAGCATCCATAGGGGGACGGAGTGCCTTGTGATCTACTAAGCAGGCCATGGTAAAGCATTCAGGCTGAGCTGGTGGTTGAACGGGAGATCCCTGCCTTAGAAGGCAAGTGAGAGTCTAGACACCTCTCCTTCCTTTGTAATCAATTCTCTGATGTTCTATTCTATCCACCCATTTATTGGGCATATGGGTCCTTTGCCACTTTACCTTGGGTTGCTATGACCAGCTTCTAGGCATGTCCATAATACTTAGGGCCTCCATTAAAATAACAAATCATAATTTGTCTTGAATTATGTATTAATTCATTTATTCATTGGTTATATATATATACATATATATATTCATTGGCTATAGCAGAAATCTATTTGAATCTTAAGCTGCGGAACAAGAGTAGGTAAAGAGGGTGGAGGGGGGGTTTAATGGAAGTCACATGACTGGCTTTGCCCCTCCTCTGATTTGGGAACCTTGAGCAGATGACTCCTCTGGGAACTTTAGTTTCCTCTTTTGGAAAGTGGGAATGACAGCATCTACCTGGTGGACATTGAGAGAATAAATGTAGAGAAGACAACTAGCCCTGGTTTTTTTCCCCACTTACTGGGTAGTTCAAATGTTAATTCTCTGTCTCGGTCATGTTAGGCATCTCCCCCACACCCTCACCCAGAGGCCACAGGGACCCACACTTCTGTAGACATTCCGTTGAGTCAGACATAGTTGTGTTAGCGCCTGTCTCCCGCCACCTCAGGACTACACCAGGCATTTTAAGAAACTCCAAAGAAGCGCTGGTCCTTTTGCTGCCCTCAGAGGGCTCACCATTTCATCTGGAGGGGTGTGTCCTACTAGAGATAGCTGCCAAAGACCCAAGAGTGAGATCCGGAGGGAGTTCCCCTGAGGAAGAAACCACAGTGCTATTAGCTTACTCAGCCAGCAGGGATGAGAGCCAGCACGTGGGTAAGGAAAAGTCCTTTGCCCACTTTCCGAAGGCCTTGCACAAATTATAAAAATAACATTTATCAAGTTCATCCAGCTTCTGCCTCAAATTCCTTGAATCCTACTGAAATTGCTACAAAAGTAGGAATCGCTGCTCTCACTTCCCAGATTAGGACAGTGGAGCTCAGAGGGTTGGGTGAGCAGCTTTGGGGCTCAACCCTGTAAGGGGCAGAACCAGGGTGCTGACCACTGTGTTCTTCATAGGAGCTCAGGTGTGGGACGAGGCAGCTCCCGCCTGCCGAGAGCGACCCTGGAGAAGCAGCTGGGAGAACCGGTGTCTTTTGCATCTTTTCATACATAGTGCACATTCAAGGAACACCAAGAAAATGGAATTTGCCACACCACTACCTCAAATATTGCCCCCATTGTTTCTAGCATATGGTGTAGACTCCGCCCCACCGTTTCTGCCATGCGGTATAGACTCCACCTATAGGCATTCATCCTCTTAGGTGAAGTCATTTAAAATGTGTTTATGAAACGATGGGAGGACTATAGGACATGTCTTAAGTTGCCGACCCCAAAGGGTAAAAAAGATTTCTCAGATCTATGCCTAATTTCTTCTGGGTTATGGGAGAAAGCAAGAAGAAAGGCACAAAAAGGACAGTTGTGGATGGAAGAGGTAATTTTGCTCAGATTCCGGGTGTGTTTCCAGGCGTGTTGTAAGCCTTGTGTTCTACGCAGGAAACCCTGCAGTCAGTAAGAGACTTGCAGGGTGTGTGCACTCCTCAATGGCCGCTGAGCCCAAGCAGGAAGCAGGGGCCATTTCTCGGTGTCTTCTTCATCCTCGCGTCCCGGGAAGGGAGCCGATACCCACTGGGTTCTCTGGACACAAGAGTAAGAAATCTCCATGAGCACTTGCATTGCAGTATAGGGAGTGTGGTGGGTCCAGGGAGAGACACAGGGGAGGGAGGTGGAGATGGACAGACAGACATCAAAAAAAAAAAAAAGCCAATAAGAAAGAAGGGGGAAATTGAGAGATGCGCTTCTAAAGGTGTGCCAGGACATCCTTCAGATGACTAGAATTTAGACTTTATCCTAAGTGCAGGGGGGAGCTCTCCAGAGGTGAGAAGCAGAGGGCTGACAGAATCGGACGTCCATTGGAGGAAGAGGAGAGACATCTATTGAACACCTCCTGAATGCCAGACCCTTTACAAGGGCTTTAAAGCACATGAGCAAACTGAGAAGTTTCCCTGCCCTCTCACAGTGAAGAAACTGAGGCTCAGGGAGCCGAAGCACCTCACCCACAGCACTCCTCCCCTTTCCTTCTGCCTTTCCTCACACCACCCTACCGGCACTTCAGGGAAAGAGCCTCCCTGGGAAAGTGTGCCCAGAGCAGCAATTCTCCAGTGCTGTTCAGATGATCTGATTTGCAAAGGACAGAGAGAAATCTTGGCCTCAACCCCCCAGTGGTGAGGTCACTTCTGAGCATTCTCCTTTTCTTGCACGTACCTTCACCAAAGCGTGCCTCTCTCCTCACTGGTGAAATGGGACAGCATCTGCCCGTGGTGGAAGGAGGAGGACAGGCGAAAGGAACACATTGACATTTCAGAGAAGATTCCAAGCAGTTTTCCCAAATACCCATGGGATGTGCTTTCTCCTGGTGGTTTATGAATAATTTTTCAAGAGCACATGTGCGAGTCATCTAAGGAGACAGAACAGAAAGTCCCATGGCCCGTTACAGCCTGTCCCATTGATGTGGGGCACCAGAATCCCCTCCAGGAGAATCAGAAACAGCGCCTGCATCAGAACGGAGCCCCTGGGCTGGTCACTGTGACCGCTCTGAATTTGTCATGGCAGCCTCGGCCTGGCAGGGACTTGAAGTCGGCAGAATTATTCACGATCCCCGCAGAGGCGGCCACCACCAGACTCTCCTCCCAGCCTTCTCCCCTCCCCTCCCTCCTTCGCTCCTTCACTCCTTCTCTCTGTTGGTATTTATTCCAACTTAAGAAATGCCAGGCATCACGACTGGCCCTGAAAAGCTTTGGATGAGGAGAGTTTTAAAGAAAACAAGGTGAAATTTAGGATCAGGTACATGTGGTTTTGGGCTCTGGGGCCCACCACTTCCTGGCCCTCTCACTTGGGGCATGCCAGTTCTCTTGGCTCCTGCCCAACTTCCCATCCATAATCTAGCAGTAATAATACGTATATGGCAGGTACCTATCAGGGGTGAGACAGTGGATCCAGAACTGTGGTTTTTTTCCTTCTGAGAGCAACTGAGAGATTTTCCATTGAAATGCTTCTTCCTGCCTATGAAGTTTTAGCAGTTGAAGCATCCAGTTAGGAATGACTGAGTGTGGTTATTTATTTATTTATTTTTTAAGGCATACTCTTTGGGGCACAAGTTGAGAGAGAGACTTTGAGTCTCTTGGTCTTACTCCACTTAACGAAGAATTGACTTTGCTTCAACAGCTTCCCCCAACCTCTCAAGCCCCTATCTGCTCTGAAATGATTCTGCTCTCTGGACTGAGAATCAGTAGAATCGTGTTGTCCGCCTACTATGTCCAAAGCATCATTTTCAAAAGCCGTGGGCGGAGGTCGAGACCAAGCCGTGAACCCCGGCCCTCAAGCAGCCTGCGTGGAAGAAAGGACAGGGACCCTGAAATCGGACAGGCCAGAAGTTGGCAGGGTGCCGTGACCCATGGACAAAGGCAGCTGGCCTCAGAGGGCTGTCCGTGGAGGGGGGGGGTCGGTGCGCAGGGTGGGGTGGCGCCTGTGTGCCGAAGGGGGTCCGTGGCCAGCCCTCGAAGGCGAGCACCAGCCACGTCCTGATAGGCCGGGATGGTGCCACGTGGAGCAGGGAGGGCCTGGTTTGAGGAACGGGTCTTCATCTCTTGCTTGGCAGTGGCCTCCTGACTCGGAGCCCAAGAACAAGCATGGCTCTGTGGTTTGGGGCTGCTTCCACCGGTTTTCTGTGGAGAGCAGCCCTGGCCCTGCCAACCCAGCCCACTGCCCCTCTAGGAAGATTCCTTTGTCTTCCCTCCAAGCCTGCCCCGCTCCCGTCATCAGGGCTCCACGTCTTCTTTCCCCACTCTCAGACTCAGGACCAGACTCCTTCCTTCTTTCCATCCCTGGCATTCACTCAGGGCCCCTTGGGACCCCTCTCCATTCTTGCTGTTCGTTTTCATTTCTTTCTTCTCTTCCTTTTTTTTTTTTTTTAATTGTTTCTGTTTTAAGTGGGGGCACCGGCGTGTAGCCAGCATGGCCTTGGCTGTATAATTTAGTTTCATGTTCTGTACCCAAGAAACATGTAAAAAATGTAAACAGCGTTCACCCTCTGGGGCGGCAGTGCGCTTGGGAAGCAGCAACCAGTCAGGCTTGCTGAGCCCGCTGCTTTGGCCGTATTGAATTCTGTCCCCAAAACCACATACTCATTTCCCTATGTCTGAAAGTAAACTTTCTCAAGCCAGGCCCAAGGGATGGGGTTCTGAGGGGAGCTGAGGTTTGGCTGCGCCCAGGATTTTGTTTTTGTGTGTGTGTTGCAAGCTCCCTGCTCCCACCCCATCCCACCAGCCTTACTTTGTGAAGTCGCCTGGGTGTGTTATCTATAGACCTAGACCCAAAAAAGAGCCTTCCACCCTCTCTTCCACCCCCAGCCCTGGGTTTCTTCAAACTCCCCTAATGTTTCAGCCAGATCCAAGTCCCAGGAGGTCCCGGGTACATTTGTGCACGGTCCTTTTCCAGGGAGGGATGGGCTCCTCTGGGCTTGGGAGAGGTGTCCCTGCCCAGAGGCATGCTTCTGTGCCAGGCTGGTCCCACAGAGATTTCCTGGGCTCCTGCCCTCCCCGGGGCCCTTGCCCACACCGGACCTATCCGTGCAGCTGGTGGACAGGCGCGCTTGGCTGGTACTTGCGTCTCTCTCCGTCCTGGGTCACAGCAGAATTTGGCCAGCAGATCTGGTCTGCTGGCAGGATCCGGCTTTCAGGAATGCAGCTGCTGCCTGAGTGATAGTCAGGTCTGCAGGGCTGCCTGGGAGCAAGGGGTCCGGGGAAGCAGAGAAACCGGCAGGTGTCGGGGAGCTAGGGGCAGGGGCTTGACGTTCCAGAGAAGGTAGAAGCCTAGGAGCCCAGGCTCCAGAGCAGCTGTCCCAATAGATCTGTCAGTGCTAGTAGACATGTTCTATATGTGCACCATCTGATAGCGTAGCACCTAGCCACCTGTCGAAATGTGGCTCGCACAACCGAGCAACTGTTCATTTTACTTAATTTCCGTTTAAGTAGCCCTGTGGGGAGAGTGGGCTACCTGTTGGACAGGACTGATCTAGAGTCTGTCACATCTTGGAGCTACCACGTACAGGGAGGTCTCAGGGGGAGTTACTCAGCCTTCTCATCTGTACAGTGGGGGCAGTAAGCGGTAATCGTGAGAATTCCAAAAAATAGCACACGTAACGCACTTGGAACGGCGCTTGACCTAGAGTAACTGCCACCTGAATTCGTTCAGTTCAGTCATTGCCTTTACATCCTTTTAACCAACCTGGGGAGTAGGAACCACGTTCCCGTTTCGTAAATGTGGAAGCAGAGGTTCACACATGGAGGGACAGGAGTCAATCCGATTCTTCCAGGGTCCACACCACCTGTCCCAATCAGTTGTTTAAAAATAATATTTATCTCTTTTCCAGAGTGAGATAGGACATATTAATCTTTTTTTTTGTGAAACAGTGTCTTAAATCTTTTAAAATGTGCATATACCTTCAACGGAGGAGTTTTGCCCTTGGAGTACATTTTCCATAATTCACCATAAATATGGGTGTCTGTGGTCTCTCACCTGCCAAGCTTTCTGTATGGCTTCCTCTGGTCTGTAACATCCAAAGGCCTGAGCAGGCAGGGCCATGCACGACCCTTGCCAGCTCCTGTGCGTAGCTCACTGCCTGACAGGGGCACTCCAGGCAGAACGGGCGGCTGGCAATCCCCGGACGGGCCCTGGGGTTTCCATTTCTCCCGCCCGAGGGAACCATCGTGCACCTGCCCACCTCTTGGAGGCTGAACTATCCTTCGAGGTCTAGCTCAAATGGCGTCTCCTCCATATGGCCACCTCTGAACACCCACCCATGTGCAGCCTTCACTCTTCTGATATCACATAGCCCTCTGGAACCATCCAATGACCCAGAGCACAAGCTGCCTTCTGCTTTGCATTTCCTGCATCCACAGCTTTTCATACCAAATGCCCCGTGAGCAGCTAAGGATTCGGGCTCTGTCTTTAACATTTAAGGATTTCCTGTGCCGACCATAGGGTTTTGCTGCCTGGAAAGTACTCAGAGGGTGCTTCTGGATTCACTGAATGAGGCTGTTGGAAACAAATGTCTGCTGAGTGATGTCTCCTTTATGATTGGCTTAAATATACAGATCAGTGTCTGTAAGTGATTCCCTTGTGGGGGAGGGCGTAGTCCCCTGATACGTGCAGTGGGTGACCAGAGTGAGGGAGGGCCTTCTTAAGTCCCCTGCTTTGTCCCCTCCATTGCCGACGGGGTGCGTGCCATCATGTGAGTCGGGGGAAGGGGTCCTGAAAGCCCACCCTGGGCCCCAGACTGAAATTTTCTCTGCTGCTCTGTGCCTCCACGAGCCCCCACCGCTCCAGAATGTTAGCTACACAAGCGCATTGGTCTTCGTTGTTTCCAAGATGAAAAAGAGGGCCCAGCACAAAGTAGGCGTGTGGTAAATATTTATGACCGAAGCTGCACTTTGCTCTGTTCACAGCTTTGTGCAGAAAGTAGGAAACAGCTTCCGGAAGCTGGGCTGCAGGGTAAAGGCTCTACCCTTTTGCGTCTTCTTCTTCCGGGAGAGATTGGTGTCTCAGTGAGGTCCCAGTGAGTAGATGACTACAGAGGTTGATGGAACCATAAGGGACTGTCTTTTTGGCTTGTGAGCCTGGCTTACCCTCTGGAGGTCTCCCAGTGCGAGGCCCAGCAGAGGAGAGTATGAAAGGGAAAGAGATGGACTGGAGGGAGGAAGACTAGGTGGAGGGAGGCGGAAGAGGGATCCAGAGTTAAGGGGGAGGGGGGAGCGGTGACTCAGCAATAATAAAGGACAGTGAAGGGAGGAACCTGATGGTCATGACAACAGTTGATCACAAGGACAGGAGTCAAGTGAATGGCAGGCGAGCCACAGGGGCTCCACCCAAAGCCCCTCGCTGTTCCGGAGCATATACACCTGCCAGCCACTCTGTGAGGCAGGCGCTCACTCCCTCGTTTACAGAGGAGTAAATGGAGACTCACAGAGGTTAAGTAACTTACCCAAGTTTCTGCAGCTGGCCCAGGGGTGGGGCAGGGAAATCTCAAGTTGGAACCCAAGCCTGTCTTCCTCTACAGCCTGGAAGAAAGAAGTAGGGAGGGATGAAGTAGGGACATGTTAATTGTATGTCTAGCAGGTGGGGCATGCCAGAACGTTTGCATGTGTAAGGGTCCTTCTCCAGGGGAGGTACGAGCATCTCATTTTGCAGTGGAGGAGTGTAACCCTCCCAAAGGGTTCAAGGTCATGCTGTCAGCACAGGGCAGCAGCTGAGATCCCAGCCCACATCCCTTTGACTTTAAGATGTGTGTGGCTTCCACCACTCAGTGGAAGGTTCAGGGACATGGCAGGTGGAGGGATGGTCGAAGAGTTCATAATTGTGGGTCCCAGGTCCTGCTGCTTCTTTGACACTCTGCTTTCGTGCGGATGTGTGGGGCCTCGGCCACCCCTGGGGGAAAGCACCAGTCTGCACGCTCTCTGTCCCCCAGAGTAACCTGCTCGTGGGGTGCTGGACATGTAAGTCAGCAGTGGCCATTGGGCACTTGGTGGGCAGAGCCCCCAGGTTGCATGTCACAGTCACCGGCCCTACCTCTGAAATCTGGAGGGCCAGGCCAGAGAGCAATGCTGCCCTTGTCCTTGAGGACGAGAGCCCCTGTTTGAGCTTCAGGCTCAGCAGGACACTGTTAAAAGCCGAAGCAATCCCCGTCCTCTTGTTCCTTGCATGAGTCAGTGCCCGGCATCCTTTGGGGCCTCTTTCTAGGAGAAATCAAGCTCAAGACTGCCTGGGGAAGAGCACTGCCTGCTCTGCAAAAGCAAAACAAGGGAGCCAATCCCTCCGCGGTTTCCAGCCCTGGCTCCCCAGGGTTATAGGAGGGGATGAGGGAATCCTGAGCGCTGCAGTGAGACCCCAGGGTTTTAGGAGGGGATGAGGGAATCCTGAGCGCTGCAGTGAGACCCCAGGGACCGTGCACTTAGTGTGGCCATCTTGGCATCAGGTGGGGGTTCCCTGCAGGGCATGTGACTTGGACTTCATCGTGGACACAACTTAGAACACACAGGTCTTAATTAGGAAAGCTGGAGAAGAAGAGGAAGGAACGGGGAGCGCAAGGAAAAACAAAAAAGAATGACCTGGAAACTCCTAGTTTTATGAACTCGCGAAAGTGTTGTTCTTTCAACACACAGATGTTTTTAAGTGAAAAATCACTCCTCTGACCTTTCTTGAATAGGCCTACGTGGTCAAAACTGCCATTAACCACTGTTCAACTAGCTTGGATGTGGTCAGCGCTCTTCTGGTTAACCCGTGAACATCTCAGGGCTCCCGGAGAGAGGCCAAGAAGAGGTTTACAGGATGCCTAAGACATACCGCTTGGGTGTGTGTGGCTCTGAGCTGAGTGGTGGAGACTTCCGTGTTGCAGGACTTCGCTCCAGAGCCGGCTATGTTCTCCACTCGAGAGCCAGGAGAGAGGGCATTTTGGATGGAAGCTACCTGGAGTTGTGTTCTCTGGGCTTTGGTTCCTGATTCTCCATACATGGTTTCCAGGTGCCAGATTTAAAGCAGACAAGCATTGCCCAGTCCCATTCTAGAGTCACGGTATCTCAGTATTCTGGGCTAGCACTGGAAGTGTTTCATGCTCAGTGTACTTCTCCAGAACTGGCAATACCTCTGGGCTCTGAAATAAAAATCGTGGTGCTTCTGGATTCCTATGTGGAGTTGGTAGTGTCACAGAGAAAGTTTCATCTTTCGCCGGCAGCGTCTCTGTTCCCATCTCGAATTGAATTAATACTTCGGTTGAAGCTAACAGTGCCCCTTGATCTGATCCAGAGTCTACGCTGCTTTTACCGATCCTGATCTGTAATTGATGAAATTGCATGAATGGCTTTCAGTACAAAGACTGGGGAAAAAAAAAAAAGAGAGAGAGATTTGGCAACACAGAAAGATAGCGGCATGCTTTTAAAAAGCCGTGTGCTCAGAACTGTGCTTGCAGCAAGATCTGCATCTCGAACTTTGTCCTTCATGCTTCTGCTGTTGACATCATCTGGGAAACTGGGTTTGTCATGGCTCAGCTGTGGCCCGTTTTCCCCCTTTTCTTGCCTCTGCTCTGGCCTCTGCTCTCCAGAGCCCATGTGACGTTAGGAGTTTGCGTTTCAGACCTGGCCCTCAGATACAGATTGCCCTGGAAACTTTTTTTGTCCGTGCCCCTCCCTCAGCCCGAACATACCTCGAACACAGATCCAACCACGCTGTTCTCTGAGTATCTGCTTCTAGAGCCCCTTATCTCCCCCTCCCCCCATGGGAGCTATTTGTGAGAAGGGGTTTTACCTTTATTGCCTTTTAAATCTGGGATCCATCTCCGCCCTGTAGACCAAGGTGAATAAGGAACCTACGTGTAGTAAGTGCTATGTAACTGTACATTGAATTAAGTGAATAAGTGAATGAATGAATGAATGAATGAATGGAGAAAGAAATAGAAAAATTCGAGGTTTGGCTGGAAAAAAAAAAATCTGAGTCTCCCAAAAGAAAACTGAGATCTCTGGGAGCCCCTAAACCCCAGCCTCTCAGCCCTTAAGAATTTCAAGAAGGTCCCCGCACGCACTCTCCTAACCCCGTCAGCATCTTGCTGTTGGAGGAGGCACATGTGCCGTGAAGTCACCCGCGGACCATCTGGCTGGGGATCCCGTGTTTCCTCTGCGACGGGAGATTACGTAAGCTGGACAGCATCCTCCAGATGTTAGCAGTTTCTGCTCATTTTTTTTCCCTCCCTTCTCAACAACAATAATAATCATTAAAACAAACAGAGGCCTCATCCCCTACCCACACCCCTGAAATTACAAACAGGTGGACCCAGATGCCCTTCCCCTCCAAAGGCCTCCCGGTTCCTCAGCGAGGCCGGCCCTGCGCTGAGCCGGACAGGACAGCCAGGCGAGCTGCCCTGGGGCTTGGGCCACAGGCCTCAGCAAGGGGGACGTGGGCCGTGTCATGAGAAGTCCCTGTGCTGGGTTTTCCCTGTCCCGGGCTCCCACCCCCAAAGCCTTGGCCTCCAAGTTAAATGGATGTATTTTGGAAGACTAGGTGGCTTAAGAGATTAGTAATGAGATCCCAAGTCTTTCACTGCTGGGTCAGGAGTTCAGAGGCGGGCCTGGGTGACTGGTGAATGGCATAATTACGGAGCCGGGAGCAGGCCTATGGAGGGCCCGTGTGAAATGAGCCCAGCCAGGCCTTTCAAGGGGTGGGGGGGCTGTCAGCAGCACAAAAGCCGACCGCCGCATCCGACAGTAATCACTCTCCCTTGTTAGAGGATTTACTAGCTGGAGAAGCTGGAGCCCCTGCCCAGTGTGTCCTCAGAACGGCTGTCTGGGCTCCAGCGATGGGTACAGCCCAATGCCTGGCTCGCCTGTGCATAAGGTGGGGAGAAGCTGCTCGCCCCTTGGGGTGGGACTGTGCGGACTAACGCTTCATACTGTATGAACTGGTGACCAGTGTCATTATTCATAATTCGTAACCCGATTATGTCTCACTTGGCCTCAGTTTCCCCACCTAAAAGTAGGTAAAAGTGAAGCTCCCCTCCAGCATGACACGGGCTGCATTTACCGGAGGTGAAAGCAGCTGGGGCATCACCATCACCGCCTCATGCTCACCATTCATACACCATGGCCCTCAGTACCCTCCCCTGTATCGAGGGAGATAGACGTGGAGTACCCGGGGCCGGCAGGCATCACACCCAGCCCTCAGCAGCCTCGACAGGTGTGGCTTTGGCATGCTCCGAATCTGTAGAGTAATTGAGGGTGGTGATGCCCGCCTCCCAGGAATGCGAGGATCTGCACGTGGAGTACGGTCGCTGGTTTCAACTTGGCCTTGCCACCTCTCACGGATGCTTTCTCAGGTCCCTTGAATAAACTTTACCTTTAGAAGAAGGTTAGGGCATCCAGTTTCCGTCCCCTAGAACCATAGAATTGATCATGAATCATTTCTCCCCCAAGGAATGTAGTTTCACTGTAAAAGCGTTAATGTGCTACAGAACAGGGATGTCTTCAGTGAGTTCTACGTCTGTTCCGCTCCAAAGCCTAGCTGCTTCTCCGTGGTCATTTAGATCAGGCTAGGGGTTTGGACCCTAAACCTCAGGATTCTGGACATGTGGGAAGGTGCACAAGGCCCCAAGATCTTAGACCCCTCTGGAGTGTGCAATACCTAATGTGTTAGGGACAGACCTCGGGGGCATTGAGGGGCTAGTCACCCCAGGGCAGAGCCCCAAGGCTGGGAGGGCATCAAATGCCAAGCGATCTTATCTGGAAGTGTCTCCTGGGTGGAGGCCTTGCGGTCCACTGCTATTTCCAGAGCTCTGGGTGCTAGGAAGGAGGCATCTCTCCACTCTGCACACCCCTCTGTACACAGGAAATTCAGCTTTGCTTGATTGTCTGTCCATGCCAAATAATAAATCTCAAAATTGAAAGAAAAGCAGTCCACTCCTCCCTCCTCCTCTCTATCTCTGTAAGGCAGGCATCAAAGGGGAAGGCTGCTCTGGAGGCCTGGGGAAAGTGATAATTGTTTCTAATGGTCGCTACAAGAAAGCCTGGCTTTTCTTCCTCTCTCTCTCTCTCTTTCTCTGTGTGTGTGTGTGTGTGTGTGTGTCTTTCTGTCTGTTTCTGTCTCTATCTTTTTTCAGTGCTATTAAGTATGTAAAAAGGAGGTCAGAAGAGGGGATTGGAGATGGGTGTGTGTGTTTATCTGTCAAACCTCAGTTGCCCTTAAAGTTCTGTATGTTCAGGGGGTCAGTTTGGAATGAGGGGCCAAGGGAAGCCAGGATGGACATGGGAGTGAAGAGAGGATTCCAGTGCTCTGCAGCCAGGAGAACCTCGATGTTTGGGTTTCCAGTGTTCATATATATATATATATGGTCAAATAAGACCAGGCATGTGAAACACTTGTTAGAATGCCTGATACAGGTTTCCTCCGCTCTCCGAAAGCAGGGTGCTCTTGCGACACCTTTTGTAAACCAAATGGCATAAAGCAAAGAAGCAAATGCTGTTAATTTATAGGACAGAATTTTTGAGTGTTCCCAGACCCCCAAAATAGTCTCTTTTAGGCCTTTCTGATCCCTGAGGCCACATCTCGCTAACGAAGCCACAAAATAAATCGAGATCAAGCACAGATGCTCACAGGCACAGGCCGAAGCTCTGGTGGCTTGATCCTGAGATGCTGAGTGTAGTTCTGGAGAAGCCCCTAGTGGGGCGGCTCTCACTACTTGGGATGCACACTGCTTCTGTAAGACTTGCCGCAAACAAACCCTGAACGCCGTTCTTGCTTTTTGCCTTCTTTCATAAAAGCGAAAATCCTCTTTCAATTTCTTTTGGTTAATGAGAACAGGTACCAATTTAGGCCTTTCCCACAAGCAAAGGGGTGCAACGTGAACTTTGGAAAAGCAGGGGATATCTGTATATAGTAAAGGATCAACAACATTGTTCTTGTTGGTAATTCATTCTTTTATTCAACTAGTCTTGGCTTTAGTGCTTACTTTAGGCTTTTCACTGCCCTTGATTCTGAAGATGTAAAAGACAGTGAGCTGACAGCCAAGTTCAAGGATTGCAGATAGGTTCATCTCCTAGGCCAATCCTGACCAATGGTGAGTGGCTTGCCGTAGTGTTTTATTAAGATGGATTCTGGGGTCTCCACTCAGGGCAGCAGCATGCACCATTTAATTAATGGTGTCTGTCCCGAGCAAGGGCTTGGGGGAAGACAGCACTGATGTGTGCGTCAACTGGTTCAAGAGTCTCGAGGGCCCGCGTCCTCCCTGTTAACGATCAGCCTATTTCTCATCGAGGAAGTAGAGGTAATATTAATACCTTCCTCAAAGGGTGGTTCTAAGAATTAAAGGAAATAATGGAATCGGACAGGCTCTGCTGTGCATGAGAGTAATGGGAGAAATCACTGCAAATACCAGGTATTACTGCCATCATCGTATTTGTTGCCCGTTAACTGCGTGGGAGCCTGGGTGGTGGACAGGTCCGGCCATTTAGTGCTCATGAATGAATTCAGGGTCTCCTGGGGCCTTCTCTGTACCACGTTGCTGTTCCCATGTCCACACCCTGGGCTTCTGGATCAAATATGTCAGCCCTGAACCACGTGTTTGGCCGTGGAGAAGCCACCTTAGTTCAATATGGCAGCATTCACCGAGCCACGCCTAGTGGCCTGCACTAGACACCAGTGAAGAGGAGAGAGAGATCGGGCACAAGCACTGCCCTTGACTCAAGCATGGAGACACAAGGACAGACAAGAAACCGCAAGAGGGGTGACCAAAAGCTACTGGGGAGTCTCCACCCCTGGGGTGAGAAGTACAGGGACCTTGAATCAGATCACTTGGCTTTGACTCTTAAGCTGAGAGCAAGTGCCCTGTGCCTTCCAAACCTTGGACTCTTATCTCTCAAATGGGGACAAAAGTGCTTATTCCTCCCAGTTATGGCAAGATGATACCTGGGCAGCATCAGTACTGTGGACTGTCTCTGAGAGTCGGTGCCCTTTCCCTCCCATAGCGGAGCACTGAGGAGGGAGCACCATGTTCTGGAAGAGAGAGCCACACTGGCTTTATGGAGGTGGCTTTATTGCACCTGGCCCACTCAGTGTTATGGTCTCCGTGGCCCGACCCGTGGTCTCCCAGCCGGCTCGCCCTCCCGCCATCTCCATATCAAGGAGTCCTGCCTGTGGCCTCTTACAACCTTGCAGTTCTTGGGGACATAGCTCGGCATTGGATCTACAAGCCTGAACGTTAAAATGTGGCCCAAGT